TTGTAAAGATCAACAAAATCGACAAACCTTTAGCCAGATGGACCAGGAAGCAATAAGAGAAGACACAAATTATTAAAAGCTTTTTTAGAAACAAAGTAGACCCTTGCTATTGATTCAACAGAAATAAAAAGGATTATGACAGGATGGTGATCTACTGAATACCAACAAATTGGATAACTTAAGATGAGATGGACAAAACCCTACAAACACAAAACCTACGGAGACTAAACCATGAAGAAATAGAAAACCTGAGTAGATCTATAGTAAGAAGATAGAATCAATAATCAAAAATCTCCTTGTAAAGAAAAGCTCTAGATACGATGGCTTCCCCAGTGAATTTAACCAAGCATTTAAAGAACTAACGCTATTTCTTCTCAAACTTTTTCGAACAATTGAAGAGGAGGGAATACTTCTGAATTCACTCAATGAGGCTAGAATTACACTGATAACAAAACTAGAAAAGATACCACAAGAAAAGTACATACCAGTATCCCTCATGAACATGAACGTACCAGAAAAACCTTCAAGAAAATACTAGCAAATCAAATTCAGCAACATAATATAAGGATTATACATCATGACCAAAGCAGGATATATTCCTGGAATGCAAGGATGGTTCAACATATGAAAGTCAGTTACCTAATACACTGTTTTAACAAAATGAGGGACAAAACCACGTGGTCAACTCCACTGATGCATAAAAAGCATTTGACAAAATTCAACACCCTTTCATGGTGAAAACACTCAATGAAATGGGAATAGAAACTACCCCAACATAATAAAAGCCATATATGAAAATAAGTTAACAATCATACATAAGGGTAAAAAGGTAAAAGCTTTTCCTCTAAGATCAGAAACAAGGCAGAACGCATGCTTTTGTCACTTCGACCCAGTGCTGTAAATTTTAGCCAGAGTCATTAGGCAAGAAAAAGAAATAAGAGGCATCAACATTGGGAAGGAAGAAATAGAAGTATCTCTGTTTGCAGATGACATGATCTTATATGTAGAAAACCCTGAAGATTCCACAAAAATCTGTTTGAACTAATACATGAAACTGGCATAGTAGCAGCATAGAAAGTCAGTGCATTAAAATCAGTTGCATTTTTAAACAACAATGAATAATATGTAAAAGAAATTAAGAGGAAAATTCCACTTAAAATAGCATTAAAAAGAATAACCAAGGAGGTGAAGGACTCATACAACGAAACATATTGCTGAAAGAAATTAAAGACATTAATAAATAGAAACACATTCTATGTTGAGAGATTGGAAGACTTAATATTGTGTGTGTGTTTGTTCTTTGGAGACAGGGTCTTGCCTTATCACCTAGGTTGAAGTGCAGTGGCACAATCACAGCTCGCTGCAGCCTCAATCTCCTAGGCTCAAGTGATCCCCCTACCTGAGTCTCCCAAGTAGCTAGGACTACAGGCATGTACCACTATGCCTGGCTATTTTTTCTTTTCTTTCTGTTTTTTTGGACTTCAAGCCCTGGAAAGTTAAAGCAATTAAGTCTTTAAAAACATTTTTTTTGTAGAGGTGAGATCTCACTATGTTGCTCAGGCCAGTCTCAAACTCCTGGATTCAAGTGATCCTCCTGCCTTGGCCTCCCAAAATGGTGAGATTACAGGCATCAGCCACCCCATCTAGCCTGACTTAATATTGTTAAGCTGTCCATACCACCCAAAGTAATTCATAAGTTAATTCAATACAATTGCTATTGCACTCTGAAGGCCATTTTTTTTTTTTTGCTTTGGGAGTTTTAGAATATAAAAACTTATTCTAAAATTCATATGGGATCTCAAGAGACCCTGAAAAGCCCCAGCAAACCTGGAAAAGAAAAAGCTGGCGATCTCACACTTCCTGAACTTAAAACTTACTAGAAAACTGCAGTCACTAAAAGAGTGTATTGGACTTGGCTGTGGTATGAAGGAATAATAAGAAAACAGCGTGATACATAAAAATAGACATATAGACCAATGAAATAAATAGAGAACTGAGAAACCCTCTTACATAGTTAAGTCTTGAACTCCTAACCTCAAGTGATTCAGCTGCATTGGTCTCCCAAAGTGCTGGGATTATAGGCATGAGCCCCTGCACCTGGTCCAGTCAAGTGATTTTTGATAAGTATGTAAAGATTGTTCCGCAGGGAAAGGACAGTCTTCAACAAATGGTACTGGGGAAACTGGATATTCACATGCGAAAGAATGAAGTTGGACCCTTATCAAATACTACATTCAAAAATTAACTCAAAATGGCCAGGCCTGGTGGCTCACACCTGTAATCCCAGCACTTTGGGAGGCCAAGGCAGGTGGATCACTTGAGACCAGGGGTTCGAGACCAGCTTGGCCAACATGGGGAAACTCCGTCTCTACTAAAAATACAAAAACTTACCTTGGTGTGGTAGCGCACTCCTGTAATCTTAGCTACTTGGGAGGCTGAGGCACAAGAATCATTGAACCCAGGAGGCGGAGGTAGCAGTGAGCCAAAATTGTGTCACTGCACTCTAGCCTGGGCAAAAGAGGGAGACCCCTGTTTCAAAAAAAAAAAAAAAAAAAAAATTAACTCAAAATGATTAAAGCCCTAAATGTAAGAACTAAAACTATGAAACTTTTAGAAGAAATCACAGGACAAAATCATCACAACGTTGGATTTGACAGTGATTTTTTGGATATGACATCAAAGGCACAGCAACATGGAAAAATAGACAAACTGCACTTTATGAAAATTTAAACATTTTTGTATATCAAAAACACTATCAACAGTTAAAAGACAGTCCACCGAATGGGAGAAAATATTTGCAAATCACATATCTGATAAGGGCTTAATATTCAGGATGTCGGGAACTCTTAAAACTCAACAGTGAGGCCAGGTGGAGTGGCTCATGCCTATAATCCCAGCACTTTGAGAGGCTGAGGCAGGTGGATCACTTGAGGTCAGGAGTTTGAGATCAGCCTGGCCAACATGGTGAAACCCCGTCTCTATTAAAAATACAAAAATTATCCAGGCATGGTGGCACACACCTGTAATCCCAGCTGATTGGGGGGCTGAGGCATAAGAATTGCTTGAACCTGGCAGGCAGAGTTTGCAGGGAGCCAAGATTGTGCCATTGTACTCCCGCCTGGGTGACAGAGCGAGACTCCATCTCAAAAAAAAAAACCCAATTCAAAAATGGGTAAAGGACTTGAATACCTATGTTTCTCCCCAGAAGGTAAACAAATGGCCAATAAGCACATGAAAAGATAAACATCACTAATTATTAGGGCAATGCAAGTCAAAACTACACCTCACACCCATTAGGATGGCTACTGTCAAAAAAGCAAGGAGATAACAAGTGTTGGTGAGGATGTGAGAAATTGGAACCCCGGTGCATCGTTTGTAGGAACATAAGATGATGTAGCCACTACTAGAAAACATGGTGGTTGTTCAGAAAATTAAAAATAGAATTACCATATGATACCAAAATTCAGTCCTGGGTAGGGTATGTACCTAAGATAATTGAAAGCAATATCTAAAGAAATGTTTGTACACCCATATTCATAGAATCCTTATTCACAGTAGTTAAAATGGGGAAGCAACTCAAGTGTGTCGATCAATGGATGAATGGATAAACGAAAACGAAATGTAGTGTATACATATAAGAATATTACTGCCTTAAAAAGGAAGGCAGTCTGATACATGATACAATATGGATGAACCTTGAAGATACTGTGTTGAGGAAATAAGCCAGTCAGAAACTAGACAAATGCTGTTTGGTTCCATTTATAGGAAGTACTTAGAGTAGTCCAAATCATGGTAAAAGGAATTTAAGGAGATTAAAAAAGAGTAGTCAAAATCATAAAGGCAGAAAGTAGAATGGTGGTTGCCAGGGGCTGGGGGGAGGGATGAATGGGGAATTATTGTTTAATAGGTACAGTTTCAGTTTTACAAGATTAAATAGTCCTGGAGAGGGATGCTGGTGATGATTACATGGCATTATGAATGTATCGAATACCACTGAAATGTATACTTAAAAAAGGAATCATGGTAATTTTATGTTATATGTATTTTAACACTAAAATAATGGGGAATGAGAGCAGCACACAGTGGCTCATGCCTATAATCCCAGTACTTTGGGAGGCCAAGGCAGAAGGATCCCTTTTGTCCAGACCAAGATCAGCCTGGGCAATATAGTGAGACCTTGTCTCTAGAAAAAAAATTAAAAATTAGGCTAGGTTCAGTGGCTCATGCCTGTAATCCCAGCACTTTGGGAGGCTGAGGCAGGTGGATCAGGAGGTCAAGAGATTAAGACCATCCTGGCCAACATGGTGAAACCCTGTCTTTACTAAAAAATCCTCCATCTCAAAAAAATATATAAAAAAATAAAAATTAGCTGGGCGTGGGGCACACATCTGTAGTCCCAGCTGTTTGGGAGGCTGAGGCCAGAGGATTGCTTGAGGCTGGGAGGTTGAGGCTGAAGTGAACTGTGATTTCACCACTGCACTCCTGCATAGGTATATTTGGTTTTGATTTCTGTTGTTGTTTGTTTTGTTTTGTTTTGAGATGAATCTAGCTCTGTCGCCCAGGTTGGAGTGCAATGGCGCGATCTTGGCTCACTACAACCTATGCCCCCTGGGTTCAAGCCATTCTTTCTGCCTCAGCCACCTAAATAGCCGGAATTACCGGCACACGCCTCCACATCCGGCTAATTTTTGTATTTTTAGTAGAGATACGATTTCACCATGCTGGCCAGACTGGTCTCAAACTCCTGACCTCAGGTAATCCGCCTGCCTTGGCCTCCCAAAGTGCTGGGATTACAGGCGTGAGCCACCGTACCCAGCCCTGTTTTTATTATTTTTTTTAACAGATATAATTGTCTTTCTGATTCATATACCTTTTCAATCAAGAATATGTATGGGCTGCAGCCTGATGAAGTTTTTCACTCCTTTGGTAATGTCTTTGTTTTACATTTTTGAAGCCTGCATAGTTACAGATTAGTTTGTTTTCAATGTTTTATCTTGTAGGGGAAAATGGAATCTATCACTGTGGTGAAGCTGCTGAGCTGCTTTGATGACCTGGTGGCAGCAGGCACAGCCTCTGGCAGGGTTGCAATTTTTCAACTTGTGTCTTCATTGCCAGGGAGAAATAAACAAGTGAGTACTAATGATCTTAGCAGTTGTTAACTTCTTGGCAAATTCTCATGGGTCTTTAAAATGAGAAATCCTCATCTGCTTAGCAAATTTATGCTCAGAGAAGCTTACCACTGTGCTGTTTATAATTGGATTACGTTTCTGTTCCGGGTTGGACACTTGGCATAAAGTACATGTGGGTCATTTCATTTTTGCTTAATATTCTCGTGGTGAGCTCTCTGTGGGTTTTGAACGTGACTGGACAGATGGAACCTTGTGCAGGTTTCTGCTTGGAAAATGAGATTGGGAAAACCAGCTCTTCTGTAACTTGGAGCGATTGCAGACCTTGTCCATGTAGCCCCAGCTCACAGCATTTATCCTTTTCTTTTTCTTGTGTATATTTTTATCCCTTATTCATAGCTTCGGAGATTTGATGTCACTGGTATTCACAAAAATAGCATTACAGCTCTGGCTTGGAGCCCCAATGGAATGAAATTGTTCTCTGGAGATGACAAAGGCAAAATTGTTTATTCTTCTCTGGATCTAGACCAGGTAAAATTATTTTCAGAAATGCTGTTGGCTCTTGCCAATTTACGTTTGGAAAAACTATATTTATAATTGTATTTTTAGTCAGCTTGTATTCTTGATCACCTTCCCTTTATAATCTCAACTGTTATTTATGACATTTACTTTTTATAGCTATATTTTATAAGCTTCCACTTCTGAGACTAAGGAATTGGCCTAGTGGAACGTTCACTTTTTTCATTCCACTGTTGTGTATTACTTCTGCTTAGAAAAGAAGCTGTTGTCATTCCCACTTCCTGGAAAGGTTAGTAGGAATGATGCCAAACACTTCCGAATCCTAACTGTGGACAAGTCAGTGACTTCAATGGATGGAGGACTAACTGCCAGCCACCTGGCCTGTGTGAGATGACCTCATGTGACAGGAAGTGACAGAGGAGGTTAGGTGGCAGGATGGCGAAGATGAAGAAATTGGAGCTCCAGGAGTTCCAGGAACTAGCCCAGGGGTACAGGCTTGCTCCTCACAGGCTTTCAAACCGAGGCTCTGCTTCCACGCCCACGCCTTTCCACTTTATGATCTGCTGGGTTTTCTTTGTTTTGTCATGTGTCTGCAACCAAACTGAATTCCTTGGTGGCACGGTCCTTCGTTTTTCTCCTTTGTAGCCTTCATTCCTAGAGCACTGTAGGAATTCAGCAGTTATAGCTGAGTGACTTTCAGTCCCTCTGATCCACGATGGACCTATTACAAATATTCTTTAGTAGTAGTTCTCAAACTTTATAGTCACAAGACCCCTAACCCTTAGAAAGAGGACCCCAAGGCATTTTTGCTTAGATGGGTTCAATCTACCAAGTACACCGCGTTAGAAGTTAAAACTGAGTGAGATAATAAACCCACAATACGTGAACATAAATGATTCATTCTGTGAAGGTACTTCTGTTTTCAAAACCGGTGAGAAGAATGAGTGGCCTTGTTTATGTTTTTACGAATCTCTTTATTATCTGGCTTAACAGAAGATGGCTGGATTCTGCATTCAATCCGTTGCCATACATAGTTTCGATTGAAGTATATAAAGAAAATGTGGCCTTACACAGACATGTAGTGGGAAATGTGAGGAATATTTTGATAGCCTTTTCGGATAGTTGTAGACATTCTTTAATAATATCCTCATATTGACAAATGGTAGCTGCTTTAAAGGTTACAATTACAAATGACAAATGATAGTTTCTCTAAAGGTTAGTAAAAATGTGGAATCCGAGACCACATGGATGAATTTTTTTCTACTCTGTTATATTAAAATCTACTTTACCTATGCTGGATTTTGTAGCATTATGTATTGGTCACTTAGAAAATACTATTCACAGAGTGATACAGATCTTCCAAATGTTGACACTTTTTTTTGAGACATGGTCTCACACCGCTCACCCAGGCTGGTGTACAGTGGGTGTAATCACGGCTCACTGCAACCTTGACTTCCCAGGTTCAGGTGATTCTCCCACCTCAACCTCCCAAGTGGCTGGGACTACAGGTGCACGCCACCATGCCCGGTTGATTTTTTTGTATTTTTTATAGTGACAGGGTTTTACTATGTTGCCTAGGCTGGTCTTGAACATCTGGGTTCAAGCAATCTGCCCACCTCAGCCCTCCAAAATTCTGGGATTACAGGCGTGAGCCACCGTGCCAGCTGATACATTTTCTAATACAATGTCAAAAAAGTACCTTTGTTAACATAAACATCATTGTAATCAGGAAAGTCTCTAGCTATTGGGAATCATGTCAAGTTCACAGGGACAGATACAGGTCTTCAAATTGCTAATCTCCACATGAGAGCAACAAATACCATTGCTTGTTTTCCTTGAAGCGACAGGCTTTTGTTTGGTTTTGTTTTGTTTTTTCCTCCCAGAAAATGTCTGCTAAATACCCAAGTTTGAATAATTACAGCATTTCAAATAAAAATGGTGTTTTGTGAAAAAAGCAGCTGGCTCAGCTCACAGCTGCAGTAGTTGCACACGTGCTTTTCCTTGAGAGAACCACTGAGTGTATTTCAATGTCCAGCAGAAGGGAGAATATAAAAGTACCTATCCTCTGGCCAGGCGTGGTGGCTCACACCTGTAATCCCAGCACTTTGGGAGGCCAAGACAGGAGGATCACTTGAACCCAGGAGTCCAAGACCAGCCTGGGCAACATGGCAAAACCCCGTTTCTTTTTTTTTTTTTTTTTTTTTTTTTTTTTTTAGATGGAGTCTAACTCTGTTGCCCAGGCTGGAGAGCAGTGGTGCAATCTCGGCTCACTGCAGTCTCCATCTCCGGGTACAAGAGATTCTCCTCTACATTTTGATTATGTTGGGGTTATTATTTGAGGTGTTGATTATTATTTGTGGAGGTGTGTTTTGTGGAGTTTGATTAGTAATGGATGAATGAAATACATTTTTATATACTAGAGTGTAGTGAATTTTAGTGGGCTAGGGAGGTTGTTGTTTTAAGGGGGTGATTGTAGCTAACCACGAATTTTTTTTTTTTGTATTTATGTAGTATAGATTTAATAACAGAGTTTTAAGTTAACATGCTTGTGGATAATTAACATGATTAAAAGAGTGGTTTTATGAATGACAAAAGGTTTTGGGTTTGGGGCTTATAATAAACACTATTAATGGGTAATTTTTTTTTACTTTTTTTGAGAGGGCTATTTAGCACAAAGCTTACATGAGTAAACAAATTAGAGTAGGGACAAAGGAATGTGGGGTAAACAGACTTTACCAGGGAAGCTTTTATCATTATTATTGTTATTTTATTATTATTTTTTTGAGACAGAGCCTCACTCTGTTGCCCAGGCTGGAGTGCAGTGGTGCAATCTCAGCACTGCAACCCCTGCCTCCCAGATTCAAGCAATTCTCAGCCTCAGCCTCCTGAGTCGCTGGGATTACAGGCACCCACCACCACGCCTGGCTAATTTTTGTATTTCTAGCGGAGACGGGGTTTCACCATCATGACCAGGTGGGTCTTGAACTCCTGACTTCATGATCCGCTGGCCTCAGCCCTGCAAAGTGCTAAGATTACAGGTGTGATCCACCGCGCCTGGCTTACTATTTTAATTTTTACCCTATGATTTAAAGCTTTAATATAAGAACTGGCTGCTTTTAGTTTGTTTTATTAAAACCTTTGGCTTTTTAAAAAGTTTGAGACTAATTTTATAATTTTCCCTAATATTTCCCTAATCCTTTACCAGCCACCCCGAGTGAATCCCAACATTCTCCTTGCCTCAACCTCCTGGTAGCTGGGACTACAGGCACGTGTCACCACACCCGGCTAATTTTTTGTATTTTTAGTAGAGACGGGGTTTTACCATGTTCGCCAGGATGGTCTCTATCTCCTGACCGCGTGATCCGCCCACCTCGGCCTCCCAAAGTGCTGGGATTGATTGCAGGTGTGAGCCACCGCACCTGGCTGCAAAACCTCATTTCTACCAAAAAAACATACAAAAATTAGCTAGGCATAGTGGTGCACACCTGTAATCCCAGTTACTCTAGAGGGTGAGGTGGGAGGATCACTTGAGCCTTGGAGGTGAAGATTGCAGTGAGCTGAGATTGTATCACTGCACTCCAGCCTAAGCCAGTGAGTCAGAACCTGTCTAAAAAAAAGTTTGCAACATTTTGTGTAATGGAAATTTCTTTATTTTGATTTTGGTGGTGGTTACATAACTACAAATTTGTCAAAACTCATATAATTGTATACCTAAAAAAGGATGAAATTTAGTGTATGTAAGTTTTACCAACAAATCTGATCACTGCTCCCTGCTTCCCCCCACAAAATGTCAGTGATGTTGCAGCAATATTTCTGAAATAATTGATGGAACGGGACTGGGCGCAGTGGCTCATGCCTGTAATCCCAGCACTTTGGAAGGCCGAGGCGGGCGGATTGCCTGAGGTCAGGAGTTCAGGACCATCCTGGCCAACATAGAGAAACCCTGTCTTACTAAAATACAAAAAATTAGCTTGGCATGGTGGCGGGCGCCTGTAATCCCAGCTACTAGGGAGGCTGAGGCAGGAGAATCGCTTGAACCTAGGAGGCAGAGGTTGCCGTGAGCTGAGATCATGCCATTGCACTCCATCCTGGGCAGCAAGAGTAAAACTCCTTCTCAAAAATAAATAAATTAATTAATAATTGATGAAACTTTTCATTCATATATATATATATATATATGCACACACACACACATATATATATGTTTTGAGATGGGGTCTTGCTCTGTTGCCAGGCCAGAGTGCAGTTGCACGATCTTGGCTCACTGCAACCTTTGCCACTGGGTTCAAGCAATTCTGCCTCAGCCTCCCAAGTAGTGGGATTATAGGTGCCCGCCACCATGTCCAGCTAATTTTTGTATTTTTAGTAGAGACGAGGTTTTACCATGTTGGCCAGGCTGGTCTCGAACACCTGACCTCAAGTGATCCACCAGCCTCGGCCTCTCAAAATGTGGGAATTACTGGTGTGATCCATTGCACCCAGCCTGGTGACACTTTTCTATAAGAGTAACTTATAGAATCAGACTTTTTTATACAATGAAATATGCTTTGTGTTAGCAGTCAAATGCCTTCTAGAATTTTATTTTGTATTAATATAGAAAATATGATGGTTTTTTTGTTTGTTTGTTTGTTTGTTTTAAAGACAGTCTTGCTCTGTTACCTAGACTGGAGTGCAGTGGTGTGATCACAACTCACTGTAACCTGAACTCCTGGGCTCAAATGATCCTTCTGTCTCAGCCTCCCAATTAGCTGGGACCATAGGCATATGCCAACATGCCTGGCTAATTAAAAAAAATTGGGGGGCCAGGTGCACTGGCTCACGCCTATAATCCCAGCACTTTGGGAGGCTGAGGCAGGTGGATCATGAGGTCAGGAGATCAAGACCATCCTGGTTAACATGATGAAACTCTGTCCCTACTAAAAATACAAAAAATTAGCTGGGTGCAGTGGTGAGCACCTGTATTCCCAGCTACTCAGGAGGCCAAGGCAGGGGAATTGCTTGAACCTGGGAGGCGGAGGTTGTGGTGAACTGAGATCGCGCCACTGTACTTCAGCCTGGCCATGGAGTAAGACTCCATCTAAAAAAAAAAAAAAAATTTGTAGAGACAGGATCTCACAGTGTTATCCAGGCTGGTCTTATAAAGTATCACTTTATATTAATAGCATTTTATATATTTAATCACATTTAATTTCTTCTAACCTCCTGTTTCCTATGACCGTTTCAGTTGGCATAATGTATTTCAGTTGGCATAATGTATTTCAGTTGGCATAATGTCCTCAAAACTGCTTTGAACCCTTTGTGAGGGGAGACAGTAATATGAACTTATAGAGCTGATCATGTTCACAATAATTTTATAGAAAGTTCCATTCCATTGTTCTGTAATAGAATAAGTAGTAGACACGGTGAAGCATATTTCTGTTTAGGTCTTTATGGATTCCTCTTGGAACTCCACATGTTTACTGCGTCATCCCTGAGCCGGCTGCAGTGCACACTGAAGAGTATATCTACTGAGAACATGTTTTTTAAAATTATGCAAATTCTAAAATGTTTTTTGTCAAAGTGGATGTAGCACGAGAGAGATGTTAGTATGGACTGTTTTCCCATCAGTCAGATCATCTCACTGTGGTGGGCTGAGGCTGAGTCTATAGAGAAAGCATATGTGGTAAGACACAAGTTGACCTAAGCACCGCTTGCAGGAATGACACTGATATGTCCTAGGGGAGGTTCGTTCTTTAGCCTGGTGCTGATGTGAGGTGTGACCGGACTTTCTCTGCCAGGGGCTCTGTAACTCCCAGCTGGTGTTGGAGGAGCCGTCTTCCATTGTGCAGCTGGATTACAGCCAGAAAGTGCTGCTTGTCTCTACTCTGCAAAGAAGTCTGCTCTTTTACACTGAAGAAAAGTCTGTAAGGCAAATTGGAACACAACCAAGGAAAAGGTAAGTTTCACAAGTTTTCCAGTTTGGCCTGAATGCTGGGCCTTGTTGTAGAATGTGCTTTTAGGGTTTTCTATTTAATGAATGCAAGCCCACAGCAGCTCCAAGCCTGAGGTTCCTGGTGGGGCCCTGTGCCTGCCTAGGATTCCTCCTCCCAGAGCCAGATGAGAAGAGTGGTTCCTCTTGTCACAGAGCTGCAGGAGCCTGCACACACAGCCACTTTGCCTTGCAGGGTGCCACAGTCAGCCTGGAAAAGCCTCAGGAGTGGCCTGGTCTGTCTGTTCCTTGTGTAGGCTCCTTCTCCACCCAGCCCTGGTGAGGAGTCAGGGTCATGGGGCTCGTTATTCAGCACCTGTCTACTATGTGCCCCTGTGCACTGTGGCAGGCTCCGCAGTGATGTGGTGAACGTGGCAGATCTGAGCCCTCCGTCGTGGAAATGGAAATGCAGATAGAACACTTGTTGACGGTTGTGTTAGCTGCTATGGACCAAAATGGACTGGGAGACATGGTGAGATTGGCAGGCATTGGTGAGGCCCCGAAGTTGGTGGTGTCCTAGAGAGTTGGGCGAGGCAGACAGGTGGAGCCAGCCTCTGTGGTCGCAGCCACCGTCCGTTATTCTATGTTCTGGGCTTTGCAGCAACACAAAAGTTGATTGTCTTTTGGTATATGGACACAGGATGCTGTGTGAGTTTAGACACACTTTTGTCCAGCTGAAGGGTCAAGGAAGACATCCTGAAGTCGTGGCTTCCAGGTTGAGAGATCGTTCCTCCTTTGACTGGTGATGTGGAGGAAGGGAGTGAGAAGTCCACTTGCCACACCAGCTGTGTGGGAAAAGGCAGCTGGAACACCTGGGGGACCTGTAATTCATCATCCCCACCCTAGCCCGTAAAACACGCTTGTAGGACTCTGCAGCAAGTTTGCATGGGGATGGAGTGAGGAGGGGTAGGCAGAGTGGTGGAGCTGACCCCTCCTTATGCTGAGGAGAAGGAGCACTGGGGCCAGGGTGGGGGTGGGCAGCAGGGGGCGGCATCAGCACAGATCATGAGTTGATGAGTCTGCAGTCATGGGTTGGCCGATGGGAGCTGAGGAGTTCCAGTCTTGTGTCTCCCAGGAAGGGGCACTGTTTGCCTACATAGAATGGGGGGCAGGGTAGCTGATGGTCACCGCACATGGGGAGGGCTTGTGGCTGGCCTTGTGGAGAGCGACAGCAGGGACTGGGAGACATGGTGAGATTGGCAGACGTCGATGAGGCCCTGAGGCTGGTGCCATTGGTGACAGGCCGTCCTTGAGAGTTGGGTGAGGCAGACAGGTGGAGCCAGCCCCTGTGGTTGTAATCACCGTCCGTTATTCTGATTCTGGGCTTTGCAGCAACACAAAAGTTGATTGTCTTTTCTGCGTGGCAGCCCTGCAGCCGTTAAAAGACACTCTCATCCCTCCCCTTTGACTTCTGTTTTCCGTGCTGAACACCTTCTTAATCCCATCAACAATCTGGCCTTTTGTATCTGCAGCCTCACTGCTGGCCCCCAGAGAACTCAGTGGAATTTATGGTCCTGCAGATCTTAGTTCTGACATTCCCTCTGCCAATATCCTATTCCTCTGGCATTTTATCCTGGTTCATCTGTCAATGTCTTACTGCACTGTGTCTTTTTGGAAGGAAGGCAGGGTGTAAAGAGAGGGATTGAAAACCGATTACCTTTCAGGTGGGTCCGATTCTCAACAACCTCTCTTAAAATCTGGCCCTTGGCTGGACGCAGTGGCTCATGCCTGTAATTCCAACTCTTTGGGAGGCCGAGGCAGGCAGATCGCTTGAGGTCAGGAGTTCAAGACCAGCCTGGCCAACATGGTGAAAATTTCTCTCTATTAAAAACACAAAAATAGCCAGGCACAATGGCTTACGCCTGTAATCCCAGCACTTTGGGAGGCCAAGGCAGGTGATCACCTGAGGTCAGGAGTTTAAGACCAGCCTGACCCAACCTGGAGAAATCCTGTCTCTACTAAAAATACAAAAATTAGCCGGGTGTGGTGGCTGTAATCCCAGTTACTCAGGAGGCTGAGGCAGGAAAATCGCTTGAACCCAGGAAATGAAGGTTGCAGTGAGCTGAGATTGCGCCACTAAACTCCAGCCTGGGTGGCAGAGTGAGACTGCATCTCAAAATAACAAAAACGAAAACAAAAAACAAACTTGGCCCTTTATCCTCTTGTGTGGAGCTCCAAGCAGTTCCTATAACCCTCTCCTGGTGCTTCTGTCAGGCCTTTCAGGAACAGTGATTGAAAGTACTCTGCCCCAGGAACTGTTATAGGATGCAGAAACAAATAAATGTGTCCCTGTGTCCCTTCTCAGAAGGAGAGAGATTTTATTGAGCCCTGGAGAAATGGGGGCTGGTAGAATAAAAGGAAACGTTTTTAATGTGTGTCTGAAAGGCTTGCGTTCTGCTGTAGACTATTGTGTGTGTCTATCCCTGGAAGCAGTGCTTCCCTCACAAGTGTTCAGTGAATGGTACTGGCTATGTACATGGGGGCGTGGCAGCGAGTAAGGAGGCATCGAGGAGACAAGTCCTCTGCCCTCAGACACGGCGGGAGAGACCTCGGGTCAGCAGGATGAGAGGAGAGGCGTCAGTGCTGTAAAGGGAGTCACCTCATGTCAGGGTGAAACATGAGGGAGTGCTGGCGAGGGGCAGGATGTTGCCTTTGGATAGGATGGTCAGGAAAGGCCTCTACCAGGGCGGTGATATTTGAGCTAAAGCCTAGGAAGAGCTGCTGGAGGAACAGTCCAGGCTCAGGGAACAGCATATGCCAAGACCTCAACTGGGCCAGGCTTAGATGTTCAAGAAGCTAGAAGGGACTAGGGCACTGGCTGCTGTGGGAGTCCAGGGGAGCGGCGGGGAGGAGGCTACCTCAGGAGTCCAGGGGAGCAGCGAGGGGAGACCGCCACGGAGTCCAGGGGAGCGGCGGGGAGGAGGCCGCCTTGGGAGTCCAGGGGAGCGGTGGTGGGGAGGCCGCCTCGGGAGTCCAGGGGAGCGGCAGGGAGGAGGCCGCCTCGGGAGTCCAGGGGAGCGGTGGGGAGGTGGCTGCTGCAGAAGTCCAGGGAAGCGGCGGGACAGCTGCCGTGGGAGTCCAGGGAAACCATTGACTGAGATGGAGACTGGGGAAGGCTGGGCCAGAGGTCAGAACATGAGGAGCTCTGCTGTGGACATAGGGAATTTGATAGGCCTGTCAGGTGGCCACATGGCAGTCACCAAAGAGTTCTGTGGACAGGTCTGGAGCCTGAGGAAGAAGTCTTGGCCAGAGGGGAAAATGAGGTCACCAGATACAGATGACATTGACACCTTGACATTGGATGAATCCACGCAGAGAATATCTATTATTATTCAGCACCGGAGCTTTGCACCAAGCCTCTGCGCTGCTCCAGGTACTCCTCATCTGGGGACAGCTGTGAACAAGGCAGAACAGATCTCTAGTCTCAGGGAGCTGCATGCAGAATGGTGAACAGATAAACATGTCAGAGGGTGCAGAGCCAGAGACTGGGGAGCAGGAGACACCAGTGTCCCTTTAACAGGATGGCAGGGAAGCCTCCTCTGAGGAGGTAACCTGGGCTGATTCCTGAAGCAAGGAGGCAACTAGTGCGAGAAACCTTTGGACAGAAGCCCTGGAGGCAGAGGGTCCTGCGCATCGAGGATCTGAGCAGCCAGGCCGGCTCTGTGGAGCAGGGCGCAGGAAGCCCCCTCCCATCAGCTTTGTGAGCCCTGTCCGGGGGGCTTTCGGTCCAGTGCTGTGGCCAGTCACAGAGGGCTGAGGCCAAGCTGGGGAGGTCACTCTGGCTGCTGTTTGGAATATACTGGAGAGGGCAGGTGTGGCAGCTCAGCAGGGCCAGCAAGAGCTCTGGGTGATCCAGGTGGGAGATGGCAGGGTCGGGCAGGATAGGTGGGGGACTGCCTCCAAGGCAGGGCTGACAGATTTGCTGCCACGTTGGCTCTGGGATGTGAGAGGGATGAGTTGGAGATGATTCCCAGGTCTGTGGTCTATGCAGCTGGCTGAGTGGACATGCCGTGGATGGACCCTGAGACACCTGAAGGCATGGGGAGGAGGAGGAGATGACACAGCCTGCTGTGGACCCCCGTGTCCTGTCTCCACAGCGGAGAGCTGGCATGGGAGGTGGGTGGCGGCTGTGCCTCTCAGGGAGCTGTGCGTGTAGCCGCTGGCATGCAACAGGAGCTCGCCTAGGGAGATGTGGGGAGGCCTCGTGTTCTAGAAGAGGAAACGGCATCAGGAGAGAACAGGAGTTGGGGGGTCAGAGGAGTCGGAGGCCACATGGAGGGATATAGCAGCTGCTTCGAGACCCGGGGCTGGGGTCACTGAAACGGGCCTGAGTCCGTAGCATGGAGGCCCTACACAACCCTACACATTCCCTCCGCAGGGCCAAGGGATTGCAAGGGCTGAAAGAAGAGTGGACAGTGAGTATGGACAGCTTTTGGGAGGAGTGTTTTTGTAGAAGAGAACAAAGAGAAATAGTTGGGCCCAGGGGGACCATGTGTCCTGGTGGGAGTTTTGGGAGAGGGACCGTGTGGCAGCACATTGGTGTGTGACGCGGGTGCCTGTGGAGGGAATGCAGTGCTGGTGGGAACAGTGCAGGCAGTGGCCTCAGTTGGGCCCGCTTATGGGCAGCAGTGTAGGGGTTGACCAGAAACAGGCCAGAGACGTTCTTCTAGAGGAAGGCAGGGCACTGAGCACAGGACGCAGATGCAGGCAGGCTGGGAGGCTCCGGTGGAACGAGGGGTCCTCTTCCCATCGAGTCTGTGAACCTCTTCAGACTGGATAACGCGTGTGTTATATCCAGAAAACCTTGGAGACCGCAGCCACCCTCAACCGTGGGTTTGCCATGCTGTGTATTTATGTTGCATTGTTTCATGTGTCAGAGCCCTCTGCGTACCTGTTACTGTGTCTCCTGTGTGCTCAGGGAGGTCCTCCCTGGCAGCAGCCATTGCCCTGGGGAGGGAGGAGGAGAT